AGACATCAGCTTGAAAAGAGTTCCTATCAGAGCAACATGAATTATGCTAAAACTGAAGCAAGAACAAACATCAAATTTAGGGTAAAAGCCTGGGTAGAAAAATAGAGAAATCATTGATGCTTTTTGAAGTTCATGGGGACAATGCCCTAAAGAAATCAGCAGTTTACAAACAAATGACTCATTTTAAGAAGGGATGAGATTATGTTGAAGATGAAGACCACAGTGGCAGACCATCCACATCAATTTGTGAGGAAAATATTAATCTAAATGTGCCCTAATTTAACAGGACTGATGATTAACAGCAGAAACAACAGCCAACACCATACACGTCTCAATTGGCTCAGCTTACACAATTCTGACTGAAAAATTATAGTTGAGCAAATTTTCCACTTGATGGATGCCAAAACTGCTGTGTCCAGATCAGCTGCAGACAAGAGCAGAGCTTTCAACAAAAATTTTAAACAAGTGGGATCCAGTTCCTGAAGCATTTATTTGAAGAATTGTAACAGGGGATAAAACACGGCTTTACCAGTGCAGTCCTGAAGACAAAGCACAATCAAAGCCGTGGCTGCCAAGAGGTGGCAGTGGCCCAGCCAAAGCGAAAGCGGACTGGTTAAGAACAAAGGTCATGGCAACAGTTTTTGGTTTGGGTTTTGATTTTTTTTGATGTTCAAGGCATTTCGCTTGTTAACTTTCTGGAGGGCCAAATAACACTAGCATCTGCTCATTATGAGAGTGTTTAGAGAAAGTTAACCAAAGCTTTAGCGGAAAAATGCCCAGGAAACTTTACCAGAGAATTATTCTCCACCACAACAATGCTCCCGCTCATTCCTCTCATCAAACAAGGGCGATTTTGTCAGAATTTTGATGGGAAATTACCAGGCATCCAATTGACAGTCCTGATTCGGCCTCCTTCTGACTTCTTTTTGTTTCCTAATCTTAAAATATCTTTAAAGGGCACCCATTTTTCTTCAATTAGTAATGTAAAAAAGACATGGTTAAATTCCCAGGACCCTCAATTCTTTAGGGATGGGCTAAAGGGTTGGTATCATTGCTTACAAACATGTCTTGAACTTGATGAAACTTACATGTTGAGAAATAAAGTTTTTTAAAATTTTCATCTTTTTATTCCATTTTCCACAAACTTTTTGAACTCCCCTTGTATATTACAAGGTTTCTCCCTCTGGCTGAGTGCAACCTGAACTATTCCCAGTCCTGTGTGAGCCTTGGAGATTTTCCTGTCTGCTCCTTTCAGGTGGTTCTTTCCCTGGTCTAGCACAGTTTCTTCACATGCAAGCTCTGATCAATACTCAAATACTTGAGGGGAAGCCTCTGAGCTCTCCGGAGGTCTCTCTTTCTCTCTCTTCAGCTCTCTTTGCTCTAGTGAGAGCTCTAGCTCTCTTCACTCGGTCCTGCAACTCTACTGCCTTAGCCTGGAAATTCTCTCCAGGCAGCCATAGGGGGCACTGCAGGGCTCATTACATTTGTCTTCCTTTTCTAAGGGACTGCTCTCCTACACTTGTCCACTACCTGAAACCATTGTTTTATACTTTTTTTCCCCTAGTTGTGTAAGGTGGGAGAGTAAATCTGTCATTGTTACTCCATCTTGCCTGGAAGCAGAACTGCTATTAGTATTGTTGTTTCAGTCTTCGACACACACCAGTCTGGCTTGCACAGTCCTTCCATGGTTATCTGCAGGGGGATTGGCCCCAGGACTTCCAGGGGATACCAAAAGCTGTGGATGCACAAGACTCTTATATAAAATGGTATTGTATTTGCATATAACCTATGCACATCCTCCTGTATACTTTAAATCATCTCTAGATTACTTATAATACCTAACACAATGCAAATGCCATGTAAATAGTTGTTATACTGTATTTCTTATTTATATTATTTTTATTGTTGTATTGTTATTTTTATTGTTTCCACCACTCCCTGTCCGAATATTTATAATCCTTGGTTGGTTAAATCTGCAGATGCAGAACCATGGATATGGAGGATCGACTGTTATATAAAATGTCCATCCCAAATACACATGAAAACACACACCCACACCCACACATTTGTGCTACCTCCTGTTGTCTGTAAAACTTTATATAGTAAAACTATGGGTCATAGACCAGTCATTGTAGACTATAATCCAAAGCAGGATGGGAGGAAAATATTCCCATACCTCATAGATGACAACCTTGACTCAGTCTATCTAGGTTGCATTTTAGACCACTTTCTACCTTTGTGACTTTGGGCAAATATTTAACCTAACACTCTATGTAAAGGGCTTAGCATGTCCGACATACAGAAATGTTGCTAAGTCTGATGCTCATTTCTCAGTACTCACCTCACTCAAGCTATCATTGGCACGTGCCTGGGCTGATCATTTCCTTTCTTGAAATTCTTTTCTTCACTTGGTGTCAAGCACAACCTCACTGTCTTCTCAGCTTTTACATCTTCTGAATCCCAATGTACATTTGTGCTCTTTATGCTTACTTTATAGGGAATCTCATCCAGTCTCATGGTTTTAAATACTGTCTCTAATCTGATTATTTCCAAATTATATCTGTAGGATGGAACTTGACCTTGAATGCTAGGCCTACACATCACTTCTGGACTTTTGGCTAAGATCAAGTTTCTAGCTCCCCTCTTTCGGCCTTGGGCAGTGTCGGTGGCAGAGGCTGCTGCACAACCTCTGGTCTCTGGTGACGCTACCTTCTCCCAATCATGCCCTGGCCCTTCCCACTTTGCTAATAATCTCTGTAGTGCCTGCCCAAACCCTGTTTGGCTTCCCAGCAATTTCATTACTTGTGTTATCATTTCCTCTGTTTGGGATGCCTAAAGTGATTTCTGTTTCCTAATATGGCCTTAGCTGAGAGAGTTCTCTAACAGGCATCTCAAAATCAACATGTCTAGAACAAACTCTTGATTTCCTTCTCAAGCTGCTCTTCCTGGTATTTTCCCCATTTCAGTTTTTGGCAACCACATTCTACTAAACTCATAAGTGTTTTTTTTTTTTTTTTTCCTGACCGGTAAGGGGATCGCAACCCTCGGCTTGGTGTTCCCTGCACCACGCTCAGCCAGTGAGCGAACTGGCCATCCCTATATAGAATCCGAACCCGCGGCCTCAGCACTACCAGTGCCGCACTCTCCCAAGTGAGCCACAGGGCCGGCCCCATAAGTGCCATTTTTGACATGGCTTAGGATCCTCTCAGAGCTGTATCCAACCCACCAGCAAATCCTGTAGGCTCGACTTTGTGAACATACCTAGAGTTGACTATTCTTCTCCACCTGTACTGCTATCACCACCCTGGTCCAAGCCATCATTAACTCTTGCTTGGCTTGTTGCAGTAGCCTTCTAACTAGTCACCCTATGTCCATAGGTGACCCCAGCAGCCAGAGTGATTTTTCCAAACTGTAAACCTGATTATGTTGCCCTTCTGTTAAAAACCCTCCACTGACTTCTCATCTTGGTCAGAAGAAAAGGCAAAATCTTGAGAAGTGGATCCTCAAGCACCCATCTACTTCTAGGACATCATGTTCTACTACTTCGAACCATGTACTTTCTGTTCCAGCCGCAAAGACCTCACTGCTCTGGCTAGGATCTACCAGGAATGTTCCTGCCTTAGAGCCTTTGTACTTGCTATATTCTACATTCCCCAGGATCCATGTGGCTCTCAATCACCTCCTTCCTGTCTGCTCAGATGTCACTTCATCAGAGAGTTCTTTTCTGATCACCATATACATAACATAGCATCCTCCTTCATTGTCTCTTTACCCTGTTTTATTGTTCTTCATGACACACTTATCACCACCTCATGTATTACATAGTTATTCATAGCGTGTCTCTTCCCATTAGAATATAAGCAGGAGGGCCGAGCCCCTGGTGCACTCGGGAGAATGCGGCGCTGGGAGCGCAGCAGCGCTCCCGCCGCGGGTTCGGATCCTATATGGGGATGACCCGTGCGCTCACAGTGCGCTCACTGGCTGAGCGTGGTGCGGCCGGTCTCAAAAAGGACAAAAAAAAAAAAAAAAAAATTGAGTTCAGTTCAAGATTGTTTACAGGGAGAGCAATGGAATGTATGTGTCTCCCCTGCTGCTCCCTGACCCCCAATTCATATATCGAAATGCTAGCTTCCTAGGTCATGGTATTTGGAGGTAGGGCCTTTGGGAGGTGAGTAGGTCATGGGCATGGAGCCCTCATGAATGGGATTAGTGCTTTTATAAAAGGGACCCCAGAGAATTCTCTTGCTCTTTTTCTGTCATGTGAGTATACAACAGAAGGAAGCTGTCTGCAACGTGTAGAAGGGCCCTCACCTGAACCCTACCATGCTTCAACCCTGATCTCAGACTTCCAGCCTCTGGAACTGTGAGAAAAAAAAAAAAAAAAAAAAAAAAAAAAAAAAGCAGGAGAACAGGGACCTTGTTTGGTTTCTATACCCACAGTGTCTTAATAATGCCTGGCATTTAGCAGGTGCTCAATAAAATTTTTGTTGAATGAAGTGATTACTAAGTATGTGCATACTGAATATTATATTTCTTCCTCTTTTCACTAATCTTTAATAATAATAAAATAAAATGTACAGCAAGATTGCTTTGGGTCAGGCACAATGCTAAGCGTTTTACATGGAGCATATAATTTATTTTCATTTGCAGACCCACGTGCTCTATGCCTGATGCAGAGAGTGCCAGCCCTGCAGGAGCTCCTGGCGGGGAGGGGAGGAGGACAGGAGGCAGCCACTACGAGACCAGGTACCAGCACGGCGTGCAGGTACCGCAGGGGATCTGCTCCGCCCATGCCGGGCCGACCTTCCCATCTCTTGGGCCCGCCCACGGGCACCGCGCATGCTCCTCGGGGGCCGCGGGCTGACTCCGAAGCGAGTGTGCTCAGCCGGGGCGGAGTCTTCGTGGCACTTCCCGTTGGCGGGCTGCTCTGGTTGGCCGCGCGAATAGACGGAGTGGGGTGGCAGGCACCCTCCCCCCTGCCAGGGCCGCCTCCGTCCTCAGCAGGTCCTAACCCTGCACCCCGGCCCCCGCTAGCGAGCACTGCGACTGGGGACAGCGGCCCGGGAGGACGGTTCCAGGTGAGTTCCAGCCCTGGCTGCGAATAAGGTGCAGGTGGGCGTGGGAGCTGGCGCTCGGCCTGCCTCACCGGCCCCGGGGGCAGGGCGGCGCACCGCTCGCGGACCTCTGTCCCCGCGCCAGCGTCTCTGCAGGCCCGCAGGACCCTCTGCGCTTGGTCCGTGGAACACTGCGTGGGGTACCTGCGGGTGCCTTTGTGCGGGCGGTGGCCGCCGCACCTCCCAAGCACCCAGGAGTCGGGGCTCTCTAAAGTTGCCCACCCTTCCCCGGGCGCTCTCTGATTTCTTGGATAGGCGCTGTCGCTGGTCGGTGAAGCTGCCAGAGTCCCCGTTCTGAGGGGACAGCTGGGATGTCTGATTCCCAGCTCTCCTTCTCGCTCGTCCTCTCTTCCTGTGAGCTCCTCCAGGCATCCTGCCCGACCTCTCTTAACTCGTTAGCCAAGGCCGTGGTCCAGAGCAGACTTGGGCATCGGTCCTGGTTAAAATTCCAGCGGTACTGCTATTTAACCAGCTGGCACTTTGCTTCCAGTACTTAACTCGGGCGAACCTCAGTTTCCTGGAAAGTGGATTTAATGGTACTGCCATAGGGTTGGCGGAGGAGTAATTGATATGGGTTGGAAGCGCTGCCTGCAGCGTCTAGATCTTAAATGGGAGAGTTTCTATTAGAAAGCTAAATGACGAGCTGCACTGGGGCCTTCTTTTCTGGTACTGAACTGCTGGACCGCCCCTGTCCTATTTTTCAAAATCTGCGTTGTGCATCTAGTATAGTGGCCCCACACTTGGCCCCCAGGTTCTGGGGGTACAGAGTTGACTCAGACTCTGCCCTCGGGCTGGGGTGAAATGAGGACAGACAAGCACTTAACTGCCATGTAACAAACTCAAAGAACTGAGATAAAGGCGCTAAAAGAGCCTAAAAGAACACACTGAATCCAGGCTGGAGGGTTTTTTTGTTTTGTTTTTTCTCCTTTTAACTCCTCATCCTTTGTGAGAATCGCTTGACTAATATGTTGAGAAACTAATTCAGTGCTGTGTTCGTAGGGAAAATGACCTGGGTGACATTTCCAGTCCAGTAGCCTCAGCTATTAATCTGGTGGCGCTTTCTCTGGACAGTGGGTTCAGGTTCTGTAGAATAGGCCCTGAATGGAAAGCAGCTACTGCCAGATGCTTCATTATTTTAAATTGTGGTAGAACCTTTATTTTATTTCCTTTCGGTCTACTCTTTATTCTCTAGTAATAATAGACTTGTGGGAGGTTGTATGTACGATGAAAGATAGCCCAGGTCTGTACAGCCCTTCCCAACTATGGTAAAGAAATATAAACTTGTTAAGTAAAAGCCGTGGACTTTGCCAATGTAGACTCAAGATAACACTCCCGGGGGCAGGCCCGGTGGCGCACTGCTACAGTGAGCCGCTTGAGAGTGCGGTGGCGCTCCCGCCGAGGGTTCGGATCCCACATACAGACCGGCTGCTCACTGGCTGAGCGAGGGGCGGGCGCAACACCGAGGGTTGCGATCCCGTTGCCGGTCCCGGTCCCGTACGGGCGCGACACTGAGGGTTGCGATCCGTTGCCAGACACAAAAAAAGACAAAAAAGGAAAAAAAAAAAAAAAAGATAACACTCCCTACTTAACTGCTGCTTGGAAAAATAATTTCGTGAGGAACTGCATCAACAGAAAGGATTCAATTCACTTTTGCAATCTCCTGAGAACCAGTTTTTTAAGACTTGTGGAACCCTCAGTTTAAGCACAAGTATCTTTAAAAAACAGCATTATTGAGGTATTTATTATTGGCATACAATAGCAGGGCATATTTCAATTGTATAATTTTGTAAGCTCTGACATATGTATACACCTGTGAAACCATCAGTACGTTCAATATTATGAACCTGTACGTCACCCCCAAAAGATTCCTTGTGCATTCCTTTGTAATCCTTTCCTTCTGCCCCTTCTCTCCGTAGGCAGCTTTCTGTCAATAGAGATTAGGCTGGATTTTCTAGAGTTTGTATGAATAGGATTATACGGTATTTATTTATTTTCAGTTTAGCTTCTTTCACTTGACACAATGATTTTGAGATTCATCCATGTTGTTGTATGTTCATTCCTTTTTATTGCTGAGTAATATGTATATACTATAATTTTCTATTCACCCATCTGGAGCATATGGGTTTTTCCACTTTTTGGCTATTACACACAAGGTTGCTATAAATATTTGCATGTAAGTCTTTGTATGGACATCCATACACACATCTTTTTAAGTGATGATATTTGTTTTAAAGAAAATGTATGCAGCTGGGCTGTAGTCCCAGCTTTTCTGCTAACCATCTTGTGTCCTTAGAAGAGTCACTTTGCTTTGCCTTTAACATCCTCACCATCTACACTACACTGTGATTTTGAGCCATCACTGCCAGAAATTAGAATGGTCTTTGTTGATAGTTGGAGACTTTCAGAAGGAGAGAGAGGGGTCAACTTCTTCCTCTCTGTTTCTCTTACAGGCTCTCTTTTCTTTCATTTCACTTTTTTTCTTTGAGTGACAAACTTTACATCCTGACGTATAATCTGGGCAAGAAGGGAATTGAGTACATAGAGGGAAGCAAGAGTTAATATTAGCCAAATGTAAAAATGTTTAAATCACAAGCAGAAGGGGAGAAGTTGGGAAACTAACAGGCTCCAGAATTTTGTGGCTTTTCCTTTTCTCAGTTTATCCTCTTCTAAGTTCTGCTTTCTGTTACTTCTCCAAGAACAATTTGTTTAATCTTTAACCTTGTGGTGAGGAGGTGAGTGGTGTGCTGGGCTCCAGAGGTCACATAATAACCATGGGTGGCAGTTGGGGAGGTTTCTTAGTAAAAAAGGATTCCTCATTTGCTCCTTCCAGATGTGACTGAGGTCATTTGTTTCATATTTGCCCTTCACCTAACTTTTACTTTGCCTTGAACCTACTTCAGAACTTTTTATGGGAACATTAATCTGCCAACATATTTTTCTGTGGTAAAATTCAGGCAAATAATGATGGGCTGTTTTATACAGGATGGAAATGCAGCTCTTGCAGTTGGTGGCCTGTTTGGTCCTTGGGACCCTACATTCAGAGGGGTCCACTGGGAGACTGATGGGTGTGGATCCTGAAGCAAACATGAATGTGGTAGGTATCTCAAAATCACATGCTTTTAAAATGCATCTGTGACAAATGTTAATTATTTTCTTAAATCCAGTTATATGGGCCACAGGAAGCCACAACTTTACTCTCTTTACGGTTCCTATGCTTTTCACTTTCTCTGAATCTTAGATTCAATTTGCTAGACTTTTCCCACCAGGTAATGTGTATGTAACAAATCTCATTTTACTTTTAAAACTATATACTTCTTCATAAGACAAATAGTGATTTTTATTCATTTTTTTTAAGTCTCACTGAATTTGTTTAAAGAACAATAAAAAAGTGTCAAAACTTTTGCTAGAACATTACTGTGCTGGTTTTAGACTACACTGAATAAAGCTTGTGATTCAGAATGTTCAGAGAACATACTTCAATACAAAAGCTGAAGTATCTGAAAAAAGTTTTGTTAGAATAAATAAGCAAAAACAATCTTTTAATTAAAACATTGTAACATTATTAATCTTAAGTAAATGATAAAATCTGGAAATACTTCATTTAGGTATAAAAATCAGAAAAATACAGGTTATTAAAGAAAGCAGCAACTTTAAAACAGATGGTGCAGTTACCCAACTGAAGAATCCGGTAACTTGGATTCTTGGAGAGAAATCACAGAGAGCCAAAAGAGACCTAATAACAGAGTCTAAGGTTAAATTTTATTTCTTATCAAAAATCTTTTCTTTAAACTCCCCCTTTTAAAAAAAATAATTCCTATAAGAATAATAAAATTAAATCCTTTCAAGTATTTATGGTAGAGAGGGCTGATTTACCTAATTAATGGTAGAGAGCACTTATTTACATTAAATCTTTTGGATAATTGTATTATCTGTTAAATAATAAACAGAGAGAGGCTCTCTCAAAGAAAAATGAGTTTAATTGGGAATGTAACATTGCAATGGGAATATGCAAGTCATAGTAAACTACATGTGTATTCAGGGAGAAAAAAAAGACAAAGGGTTTTAAAGGAAAAGTGATGGAGGATTACATAATTGTTGTCGGATAATTATCCTTGGCTACTTGACGTCAGTCTAAAGTTAGACAGACAGCTGCTGGGCAGATGTCCTTCCAGAAATATTTTTTGTTAAGGTTGTGATGGCCTCTCTGCAAGGTTGTGGTTTTGCAGAGTTCTTTGTGATGATTTCTATCAGGCTTTCATGCATAAGAACCCTCCCTTCATGGCCTTCCCCAGCTCTATTTTTCAGGGGTTTTTCCTAACACGAGTGACACCGTTTTGATTCTGACAATTTTCACATATCCATATCCCGCTGAGCTCCTGATTAACAATTACCTCATGGATCTTTCCTTATGGAGAAATGAATTTGATCATAATTCTGTTTTTTTCAGCTTTTCTTCAACTCCATGTCGACATTCTAGTGTAATTTTTTCAGTCCATTGATAAAAATGGATTAATATTTTTTATACTTTATTTTCCAGGGTCGGACCTCTTAAAACATGGGAAATGTTTTACACTTTCACAGTATTACCTGGCGTATTTAAGAAAGAGAGAAATGAGTGTTTATTTGTGCCTGGTAGGCAGGATGGAAACAAAGAGGCCCAGAGCTGTGGTAAAGTTAGACATGCTTGGTGTGGAACATGCTAGAATGATGAAGCCAAAGTTTAACTGAATATCTGTGGGTAGAACATATGGATAAAACAAGTGGAGAATTTACTCTTTTGATGGGATGTTGGGTACTAGATTGAGCAGACTAAAATTTCAATAACGATTGATTTCTTAAATAAAGCCTGGAGAATATCATTGACATTTTGTCTTCTGCTTTGCCTGTTAATGTGGGAAATCACATCAGATCTGTCTGTGTAATTTCCATTGTCCTTTTTCTCCATAGACTGAAATTATCTCTTACTGGGGATTCCCTGCTGAGGAACACTTAGTTGAGACAGAAGATGGATATATTCTGTGCCTTCACCGCATCCCTCATGGGAGGAAGAACCATTCTGACAAAGGTATGGGTATTTTCTTTTTTTTTTTTTTTTCCTTTTTGTCTTTTTCCGTGTCCGGCAACGGATCGCAACCCTCAGTGTCGCCCCCGTACCGGACCGGGACCGGCAACGGGATCGCAACCCTCGGCGTTGCTCCCGCGCCTCGCTCAGCCAGTGAGTGGGAACCGGTCTGTATGTGGGATCCGAACCCTCGGAGGGAGCGCCGCCGCGCTTCCCAAGCGGCGCACTACAGCAGTGCGCCACCGGGCCGGCCCAAGGTATGGGTATTTTCTTTGGTGAGATAGGAAAGCTCTTAAAAGTAACTGCATTGCTGGAATTTGGCCGGTTTTTCTGTCAGTAACCAAGTTCAGATTTAACTTGAAAACATTGAGATGGGATTATTTTTAGAGTAAAGTACTAAATGTGTTACATTTATGTAAGGCATAGAAAAATACTTTTTCTTTTAAGGAAGGACAAAAGTCAAGTAATTTCGTATTTTGCTTTAGGTTCAAAGGTCAGATTCATTTGAGGATATGCTAAAACACCTATTTTCTTTGTTTTATAAGGAAGCAAATTATTTAATGAAATATTTTGACTACTAAGTAGATGGCTTTGGCTATGTGAAAATTATTTAGCTTTTTGAATAGGTAATGTATTCACACATTCCCAGAATCAAAGAAAATAAAAAGATACACAGTGAAATACTTTTCTCCAATCTCATTCCCCATTTTTTAAAATGTATCCTTCTGGGCCGGCCCGTGGCTCACTCGGGAGAGTGTGGTGCTGATAAAATGTATCCTTCTAAAATCTATTCATTTTTAATTTTTTTAATCTCAAAAAATCTCATTATAAACAAATGTAAACATAGATTCTTATTTTTTCAGTACCTCCCTTTTAATACAAAAGGTGGGTATAATGCATACTGTTTTGTTCTTTGACTTCTTTACTTAATATCTTAGAGATCTTTTCATATATATGAGCACTTATTCTACAGATACATGATATTCTACTATATAGCTATATCATAATTTATTTAACAGGTAAAGTGTCCTATTAATGGGCATTCGTGCTATGTCCAGTGTTCTGTTAACTAATATTGCTGCTATAAATAACCTTTTATGTGTGAAGTTTATTTATAAGATTTAGTTCTAGAAATAGGATTTTGGGGTGAGAGGATATATGCATTGTGATTTTTAGATATTGTTAAGTTGCTTTCTATGTGTGTTGGTACTGATAATTACTCTCACTAGGAATACAGGAAAGTTTTCGTAGTTTTGGTTTAAAAATATATATATATATATTTGTATCTTTTTTTCTTTTTCTTATTTTATAACTGAAGCAAAACTGTGGTTTCCAATGCAGATGAAGGAATTTCTAGATAGGCCACTTGAAACTGCAAAACAGGTATCAGAATAAGGATCTGATCCTTATTCAATCATCTAGAAACTTTTCTTGGAAAACTAAGATTTAGATTAAGGTAATTGGATAATTATCTCTTCTTCAGTTACAGTTTTATATGGGCAGAAGAGCCTTCTTTGCCTCAATTCCTTCCTAAATTATTATTCAAACCAATGTTAAAAACCTTCCGTTTTAATGTGAGCATTGTATCTTAATCTGCTTTGTATTTTTTCTTAATCTAATCTGATTTACCTATTTTTTTCTTCCATAAATTCTAGTTATATTAAGGCTTTTAATAAATAATACTTAAGTGGCCATGACAACAATGTTCTTTTTGAAACTTAATTTTTAACTCTTGAGATTTTTATGGTTTGCAGATACATGCTGTTAAGCTTTCTTTTAATAAATGTGTTCCAGAATGAGTGGTGAGTTACAGTGAGGGCTTCTAGTTTTCACTCTGCTCAGAACACACAAAACATATACTTTATGCTAGAGTGAGTGTAGGATCTTTGTTTCCTTCTTTTTTTTTTTTAAAGAATAACACCCGTATACTGATTTCAGACCCCATATAAAGAAAAATATGTATTGATCTTTCTCTTAAAAGTGGTTAGTTGAGGGGCTGGACAATCGTCCGAGTTGGTTAGAGTACAGTGCTGGAACACTAAGGTTGAGTGTTCGGATCCCTGCACTGTCCTGCCGCCAAAAAAAAAAAGTTGTTAGTTGACTAATATAATTAGTAATGTGAGTTATTATTAAAAGATTCTGGGAATCTCAGTGAAAACATGCTGAGAGAATGCATCTCTTCTTTTTCTATGCCCACCTCCAGGCTTCTTACTGCATACAGCAATTAAAGCATGTAGGGCCACATGCCCTATGTGTGTGTATCACATTGTCACAGGTGCAGTGCCCTAGAATTTAGGAAAGTGAGCATGAGTCTTGACAGGCTCCCAGGTGGAAGGAATAACAGTTGGGGACCTCCATACCGGGCTTGGGTCTGCCTCTGGCTTCTTGTGTGCTTTCACTTCATAGGTCTCAGATTGTTGATCTGTAAAAACCATTGATTGACTGGGATGATCTCAAAGTTCTTGCTTGGTTGTTATTACTCTCTGGTTCTATGAATTATATTCTTTATTATTCTTCTTCCTTTCTTTTTTTGGCAGGAGTGTTGGGTGAGTGGGGAAGTGGGTATTCTTGGTCTTCAGAATGGAGAACACAGACAAAAGTGCTCTAAGCTGAATCTGGTCATAGCATTAGGTCCACATCTTCTTTCTCTATGCTGAAGGGAACCTCCTGTAGTGGATCAGTGACATGTATATATAACACCCGCTGTGAGCTAACCTCAGGGGAGTTTTCAAGGAAATCTGTGATGAATGACTCAGATCTCTAAAGGAATTGTGATTTTCCTAAGAACGGCATAGGTGCTTTTCTTTTTTTGTTTTTTTGTTTTTGACCGGTAAGGGGATCACAACCCTCAGCACGGTGTCATCCGCACCACGCTCAGCCAGTGAGCGCACCGGCCATCCCTATATAGGATCCGAACCCATGGCCTCGGCGCTACTAGTGCCGCACTCTTCCGAGTGAACCACGGGGCAGGCCCAGTAGGTGCTTTTCTGATGGTTTGCATTTCCATGGTCCAAGGCAGAGCATGGGACAGAGGCTCTTTACTGTCCTTCCCTCCAGTCAAGAGCAATGTTGTCAGTGGTGTTACTTTGGCTCATTTATTTTTTTTCATTTTTATTTATTTTTTACTTTATCAATAAACAATGTAGTTGATCTTTGTGTCCCTTGACCAATTACTTTGGCTCATTTAAAGGCAAATAAGACAAAAAGAATAGACAAGGTCCTTCATATCCAAAATGGAATTCATCTTCTTCTCATGCATGCCACCTCCTCTCCTCACTTCCTGCTCTATTAATTGCACCATCCTCCTCCTCATGACCCAGACTGGAAACTGCAGAATCATTCTTGACTCCCATCTTTAACAGCTGTCAGGTCTTCTCTAGACTACTCAGGTTATATCACATCACTGCGTCCCTTTCTTTGCTTTCCCTGACCAGCATCCTACCTTAGGCTCTTGTCATTCCATCCAACACCTGAAATAAACTCAGAAGCTGAGAGAGGCTTGATCCACTTACATTCCCAAGGCTCCCCATACATGGAAAAAAAAAAATTCTCAAAACAGGGATATGGAAATTTGGTCTGCTTATACTTTAAGAAATTAATGCTTTTAAATACACACAAAAATAATGATAAAGTTTTGTATATACTGAAATGTTACTCATTTATTGGTACCATATTCCTTGTGGAACCTGCATTTACAGCTGAATGTTGAGCATCTTTCAGTCCTGTTGCAGTGGGCCTCTCTGACTGTATACATGGCCTCACTTGGAGATGACTGGAGGTGTTTCGTGAACACAGGTCTGGGCCATGTGGCTCCTCTGCCCATGTCCTCTTATTAGCTCTACCAACTGCTCTTTCTGCCAGACTCCCTGTTCTTATCTGTCCTACATGGTTTTCAGGATTAAATTTCTTAAAACCCAGCAATAATTATGTGATTTTGTCATTCAACAATCATCAGGGGTCTAATGAATGAAGATACACACTTTTCCTTAATATGCTGTCCTAGCTGTTGTCTGTACCTTTTAACTCCATTCTGTAGAGTAGTAGCCTTTGGCTACCTATGGAGTATATATGCCTGCTGTTTCCTGCTATTAAGCAACCTTCTTGTCATGTGTTCAGATACCCTTCTTTTTTGCTAACTCCTTAAGGGAATTGAAATTCAGAAATTAAACATTTATAGGGAAGTGGTTCAGTTGTCATCTGCTCACCCTTATTTCAGGAAGTCATGGGGTGTTAGCACTAGAAGGATCTCAGATTCCTGCCTGGGCCGGGGTTTTGGAGAGCTTGTACGTTTAACACACTTCCCCAGTGGATTCCAAGGCAGAATTCTTGGGTTTGAGAACCTGCGTTCTGGATCAACACCCTCATTCTACTGGGTGAGGCAGCCAGACTCAAAGAAAGAAAGGGATTTGCCTCAGGTAGAAGGGTAAATGGCCTGACTAGTCTTACTACAGATTCTGTGTTCTTTGAACTAGAGAATGTGACCTTATTTAATAAGGATTGACCAAGTCGATCCCATGATAGTCAGAATGTATATGTTATTTGGCTAAGGAAATACATACTGGTCTTGCATAAAATACATACAACAACAACAACAAAGCACATTTATCCTTGCCTAAGTGGGAAATTGGCCAGCTGTCAAAGAAAACCCTGAGTGGCACATTTGTGTGAGAAAAGCTATACATCTGATGGCGCAGTAGATGAAGTGGCCATTACGGACTGTGGAGGCCTGGAATAACTGCCTTCAGTGCAGAAACAGGTTTTTTAACTCTGGCCTTAGCAAAGACTCCCCAGGGGTTGCCCACTGAACTTTCTGAGTCAAAACTGAAAAATTCACAGCATGGCTTCTGAGTCGTCTTTGGAAGGAAAGACCATTAGCCTTTGTTTAGCTTTGATTGTTTATTTTAGGATTCATTCTGGGTTTTTCTTTCCTTACAGAAACTCTTCCCTTCTAAAGAAACCAATTTTTTTGAATAAATGCAGTGCTCTAACAAGCTACACATAGG